CACCCACATACTCATCATATGCATGCCAGGCAGGAGGCTGTACGTTCCTCGCTTCTACCCGCATGCTGCGTTTCAACTGTGCTTATAACTAGATAATGAGACACAGACTGCATCCCAAAATGTCTTCTTGCACATGATGCTTGCACTGATCTGTATCTCCTATTCCATTATATCATGTGAACATCGCAGAAGCCTCTGTAGACAATTCGATCGTTCCTGTGACGACAATGCAACCCCCGTCTGCGCAAAAATGATTCCCCGAAACATATTGCCATCGCTCTTTTTTCCCATTACTTAAATTACAGAAGAAAACCCATATGCTAAGCTTGGAAGAGGGCTACGAAGAAAGTTTCAGATCAGTTTCAGCATGTTTCAGATCTGTTGTTACTGTACACAAACACAAGCATTCGAAACTGGCCAAATCCGCACTCCTGTTAAGGTCGCAATTCGTGCTCCCACTGTAGCATATCGTTACCGCAATTTCTTTCCGGTACAAACCCCATCCCCATCGCACTACGCAATTGTTCCCTCAGAGCTCACAAAAAAGCATCACGGCTGAAATGTTAGGCATTCGTTTTTTTAATGCATTTTTTGCAGGTATGCAATGCAGAAAACGCATATTGACGAGGGATTGTCTGTGTATGCGCTGGACCTCTGTACCGATTTTCCACCTAAAGACCTACAAAAGCCACATGGCTGAAACTTTGGGAACTTAATCTACATGCATGTACAGGTCCCCACCCCCAAAATGGGCGGACTCACCCGCGTGGTTCCACGCACGGATCCGCCAAAATTCTTTTCAAGTCACTAATCCAAGAATTTGAAAAGCTAGAAGACTGTAATTTTAACAGCACATTCTCCGTCCGCCAAAGTCTCATTGAGCTTAAACCCAGACTCCGGGTATGCGTGGCACCAACATATGGACCCGCCAAGATTTTTTCCGGGTGAGTCGCTAACTGGAGAATTTGAAAAGCTAGAAGACTGTAATTTTAAGATCATATTCCCCGTCCACTTATGCCTCACTGCGCTCAAACAAAGACTTCGGGCATTCGTGGTATCTATGTATGTGTCGAGGAAAAGCGCCTCGAATGGAAAATAGTAAACAAAGGAAGCAAAAAGCGATACATAAATTATATAAATTCTTGTTTTCGTATTACCATAACCTCCTTTGTAATAACGATGCCACCGTCAAACAGCGGCACCAACATCAATCATGTATGCAATTTTTGTAAACTGGACCTAACTGGAGCGAGGCGGAGCTCCAGATGGGTTCAGCTGCCGATTTTTCCGGCTTATTTTTTACTGTTAACATTTTGTCGGCGCCGACCGGACGCCGTGTGCGGACACCAGTACGCCGACCAACAACAACATCCTCACATCGATCGGACACCGTCTGCCAGGATCAGCACGTCGTCTGCCGACATCATACCTCTCTTCCACCCTTTTTTTGTTTCTTATTGTTATTTTTCTATCACATAAATATACCTATATTACTTCTAGTTGACAAAGACAATTGAGGTTAAGCATAGTAACGGTAGGAAACTCCAGAAAAGTGAAGGTCGGAAAGAAGAAACTTTGTTTTCACCACAGTATGTGCCAGCCAAAGTTTTTCTCGGGTAAGTCGCTAGCTGCAGAATTTGAAAAATTGGCCAACGCACGCGCTGCCCGTGCGAAGATGCGTTTTTTGCAGAGTTACCCGCAATTTTCGTCACTATCGGAATCGGTTTTTTCGGCAAATGCTTCAAGCCAAACTAATTAAGATTGGTTGCCAGAACTGGTAGGAAACACCCGCATAAAATCTCAGCTTTCTAGTTTTCCTGGCTCCTGAGTTAGCAGCTTACTGGAAAAAATTTTCACGGGCCGCACGCGGGCATGACGTATGCCCGATGTCTGGATTTGAGC